TTAAAATTGGACCAGTTATTTTGGGAGTAATAAACAAGCTTAGTCTGAAGATGGACAGGCTTTGCCCGAAATTTAGCTAAAGCCTGATTTGTCGCCCTAAACACCAATTCATCATTTCACCTGTCTCAATTTCTTTTGAGGGAATTTGATTTGAGCTTTAAATCAAACTTTGTTAAAGTGGGTAGACTATTAGAAATCCAGTCAGCAAAGAGCTCAAGACTAAAATGATCCTTATTGAAATTGATTTACGTTGATATGGCTGCATTATGAAATAGAAAATGATTTAAAGATAATTTTTTTTATACAATCTTATATATCATTTAAATTATTAACTCTTTTTATTTATTTAAGATCTGTAATATTAAATACATCAACTCATTTAATTATATGAAGAAATTGTATAAAAAAATTATATCTATATAAGCCTAGATAATTTATCTCACACAATCTGTCTCTGTGTTGATATTGGGTGTTGATATTGGGTATACAAAGGATACCCAGACCATTACAAAAGGGAAATGATTGGTACATTCAATATTTCAGTATTCGATTCAATATTTTTTGGTTTAGTCATTAAAAATATAATATAAATACAATTAATTCAGTTAGTTCTTATATCTTATGTGTATGATTATATCATTATATTTGTCTATTTTTAATTTTAAACTAAAAAATAATAATTTTTTAATGACTTAATCAGAGAGTGTTGAATTGGGTATTGAAATATTGAATGTACCAATCACTAGCTAAAATTACAAAAAATTACAGTTGAAAAATATAATCCCAATACTTCCTCTTCTATTAGATATTACCTTAACTGTTGATTCTTCCCTAAAATTAATCTCGCTAGTTGTAAAAATCTGAAAGTTTTCTTCATAATGAGCAGTGGAGATGGCGAGACCTAAATTAAACACCACAAGAGTCTTCTGAAAAACATTGCTTACTAGTATTAAAAGCGGGCCTAAATATAGCACGTTCCACGATAAGTTATCGGCACACTGGTAAAAGATTATATTGACGACTTCTTGGGCTTAATTTAATTTTTAGACTATTAACTATCACATTGATTTCATTTTAGTTTAGAAATTATGTTTTATTTCTAAGTGATCTATTAACTTTCAGATTCATTTCAATTTCGTCTACTTGGTCAAAGATAACGGAAAACTTCCTATCTCGTTAAAGAACAGTTAGTCTTCTGACTATATTTTTTTTTATTTTTTAGTCCTTAAATTTATATTTGTTATAAAAATAACTTTTTCACTTAAAATTATTATTTATAGGCTCTGATACTAGATTTTTATACAGGTTTTCCCATTTCTTTAATTTGGTATTAGAGCCTAAAAGTTAATAGACCACTTAGAAATAATAATTTTAAGTATAAAAATCTAATATCAGAGCTTAAGAATAATAATTTTAAGTATAAAAGGTATTTTTATAACAAATATAAATTTGAAGACTAAAAGATAAAAAAAATATAGTTAGAGGACTAACTGTTCTCTAACAGAATATAAAGTTTTCTGTTATCTTTGACCAAGTAGACGAAGTTGAAATGAATCTGAAAGTTAATAGACCACTTAGAAATAAAACATAGTTTCTAGACTAAAATGAAATCAAGGTGATAGTTAATAGACTAAAAATTGAATTAAGCCCGACTTCTTGTACTCCATACTGGATACCATTCCCTGATATTCTTCTCAGCCATGCTCACAGGAAGGTCATTTTGGAATCATGGTCCCTTCACTCCAAGCCTGCAACAAATGTGAACCAAAAAAAAATAAAGGGGGTTATTGCAAAGGTAATAAACTCCATTATTTTGTTGTTTATTGAAAAAAAATTGATTTGTGCAAAAGTCGGAGAAAAAAGTACGTACATGATCAAGAGAGATGTGGATGCATATTTTGGTAAATCACTAATTCGATATTGGTAATGATAGGCTTGATAAACGTTATTTTTATTTGTAATACATGAACCTTCACAAGAACTACTATAATGTGATAGAAAAAAGCACTTAGCTTGTCTTTCATTAGAATATAACTTCGATCCAAACTCATCGTTAGAAACTCAATATTGGAACAATAAACTCATCACCAATAGGTAGTTTCAATTGTATGAAAAGGAGGAAAAATAGGGTAAATCAAATTGAAGGGAAATCAAATTGAAGGGAAATCAAAGGGAGGAGAGATGGTTCTTGAGAAGAAAATGTTGCAACTGGGGCATATATATAGTAGGAAGATGCTAATTAATCATTATTAAATAAAAAAAAAAGTGAATCATAATGGATTTTACTTTTTAACTAGGAGCATGATTAAGTGTAGTCACCCCCGTGGTTTGAGTGTCCTTTATACTCTATATCATATATTTTCTTGATTGAGAAAAAAAAAAATGATAAGTAATCTTAAGCATAAAAATACTATACGTATGCATTGATCATTCGATTACAAGTCATGACAAAACAACATTTATTATTAATTGAAGTTTCATTTGATTGGAAGTTACTTATCAATCGTTTAGATATAAAAAATTATTGACACAATTTTATTTTATAATAAAGTTTCATAATTATTTTTATCAAAAAAATATTGTAATTCTATGTTACAATAATTATGATGACAGTTTTCACTTAACAAAATGTGTGCTTTAATAGTTTTTATTCAATACTTGTGTGATTTGATATACATTCACTCATTTGAAGATATATAGATATTGTGAAATTTCAATGTGAACTAAGATTGTTGTTGTGTATATTAACTTAGTTTATATTATGATTGATATTTGAAATTGTAAAAATTATTAGTAAAGTACTTAATAATGTGTAACATATCTATTGTCGTTTTCATAAAAGAAAATATTCCTATAGTTTAACATATATAGATCAAAATCAAAATTTAATGTCATGAGTAGTTAATGTGAATGGAATGTGATGGAAAGAGTATGATAAAACATTTCAAAATAGTGTAGGTAATCACTCCTTTGTAATTAATGCCTGAATTATAGAAAGATTATGTAAAATCTTAATGGATTCTTTGTAATCTATACATAATTCCACCTATAGCATACTATTAAATGCATTAGGCTAAATGCCTAGTCCTTGAACTTTCAATTTTGAACAATTTGTCTCTAAATTATTTTTTATATTTTTTTGTCCCTTAACTATGAAAGATATGTGCACTTGGGCCTTCGGGCTCAATGGCGTCAGGTCACGTTTAAGTGCATTCTCCCACCCCCAGAGCAACGGTTCGAATCCGGTCTCTTGCGAATTTGTTCAAAAAAAACTATGAAAGATATGTTTTTTCCTTGTGAATTTTGTCTATTAAGTCTATATAGCTGGCATTTTTTTGGTTTCTGAACCTTTGTTTTATGCATATTTAGGTCATTGGAAGAAATTAAAATATTGCTAGTTGGACAAATTTAATAGAAAAATTAAATAGTTAAGAAGGATAAAAGTGTAAAAAAATAGTTTAGGGATTAAACTTGTTCAAAATTAAAATTTAATATACTAAATTTAGCATTTATCCAATGCATTATATTAACCTTTTGGATTTTTTTTTTAATTTTAGAAAGTGTCAAAAAAATTATAAGAAAATATTTTCTCTTCATTTGTTATGAAGGACTTACAATTTATATAAAACTTTTAAATGTGTACGTTGATCCCTATTTTATATATAAAAGAGGTTGTACATTGCAGTCTTCAACTCTTACAAAAATTAGAGTTATATTGTGTCTCGGAACAGAGAGGGAGCAGCGGGTGGCTATGGTTGGCGATGGGTGGTGGCTGTGGTGGGTTGGTGGCGCTTCGGTTGGTCTGGCAACGATGGAGAAGGGGTGGTGAGATTCACAGAGGGCCACAACAAATTTTTTGTTGAAAATCTTAGATTTTTTTTTGGCAATAATTGGCTGATTTTGGGAAGTAAAACAAGGAAACTATTGACGGAAAAATAGGGATTTTTATAAGGTTAGATATTACTTCCTTCTATGGGGGTTTTCCCATTTGTTTTCTATTGTAGTTTGTGATAATAATAGTGGAAGTAAAAGTAATTTGGGGTTTCGGTTAACTTGAATTGCTCATTTGTTATTGTAGAACTATAGAATGATAGTCTGTATGACTGTATGAGTCTTTGTAGGGATTTAAAAGCAGTTATTTACAAATTGTATGTCCCTTACATCACCTTTATTGCTATTTTATAAGATATATTTTCATAAAAAAAAGTTACTACATATTTTTCTTATAATTAATTCAATACTTCCTAAGCAAAGCAACATAATCGCAGTATTGTCTTGCAATGCAGCCACATCACTCCCATTTTTTCCTATCACCAGAACAACTTACACAAACCTAATTAGCCTGGCAAACTATGAAAAACTAAAATGTAGAGCAAGACAAGGTATGTAGTTGAGAAAATTATGTACCAAAGAGAAATAACTCCCATTTTTTCTATTAAATTTAATCTTATTTCCTATGGTTGGTAATTTTTTGAAACTAATACAAAATTTTCATAATGTGGTTGTAACAATCCTAAAGAGTGGCTCAATTAATTAAAAGTTTCAGATTTACAAATTTTAAGTATGAAGTTTGAATTGAGTGAGAAGGGTTCTCTTATTTAGCTCATCATTAAATAATAATAATAATAAGTAAAAAACTATGTGCCAATAAAACAAAAAAAAGAAGTAAAGAAAACTAAAAATAATTCTGGTAAAGTCACAATTTCTGACAAAATTTTCTCATACATGGGTAGGCGCATTGTTTCAAAAATTGCAATTTAAATATACCATCATTACAAAAATTGGAGTTGAGAAATATAATCCCAATACTTCCTCTTCTATTAGATATCCCCTTAGTTATTGATTCTTCCCGAAAATCTTCCCGGTTGTAAAAGGCTGGAAATTTTCTCTCCAAGATAAGAAGTTGATGAGATGACAGGATCTAAGTCAAGATACAACAAGGAGTTAAGGATTGCTGGCTCTGGACGCAAAATGAGGAAGGCATCTACACAGCTAAATCAGGGTGCCAATGTTCTTCATTCCTTCTTGATGATCCTCGCAAACATGAGTTTGATAGAGTTTGAAACAAGAACATTCCATTGAAGGTGAATGTGCTTTTGTATGGCAATTACTTCTTGACAGAATCCGTACTAAGGCAAATCTATTTAAAAGGGGCATAATCTCACAAGCTCAAGATTTAATCTACTGTTTATGCAATGAACACAAAGAAGATACAGGCCATCTATTCTTAAAGTGAAAACTCGTGCATGGAGCGGTGTGGACCAAATGCTGTAAGTGGTGGAACTTGTGGAAAATTGCTGGGAAGTGTTTGCAAAGCATACTGATTCAATTCCATATTCAAGTATGAAACAGGCATGGGAAGCCATTTGGTTTGCACTAACACGGACAGTCTGCCTAATCAGGAACGGAAAGCTTTTCAACAGCAAGGAGGTCGATTTTACAAGGATGTTTGATTTAATTCAAGTAAGATCTTTCCTTGTTGGAGCTATGGCATGAAAACTGAAAATACAATGAAATGAGATCTGCTAAATGATGCTGCAACATGACTGCACAGTAGCAGCAAAGTGACAGCAGCATGGAGCTTCACATGGGCTACAAGAAATGGCAGCAAACTTCATCATTTTAGTCAATGTTTTAGGTAGTTAATAATTATTATTTAGGTAGAAAAATATTATTGTTTGATGTGTAGCCTTCAATTGAATGAAAATTGAGAGAAAGAGAAAGCATGTTTTCTCCTCCCCGGTAGGGTGAATGTCTGCTATAAATAGCAGAATATCAATGGAAGAAAATGGGTTTTAACCTCACCAAAAGAAGGAACTACGGGTGTCTCTACTTCTCCTCCAAGTCCTCTCAAAAACCCCCTTTTAACACCACAAAAATCCTACATTCCTCTGGTTAGTAAATAGAGAGAAAGTCAGGAACTGCTCATTTTCAGATTCGCTTATTAACTCCAACATGTGTGGACTTTAGACTTTAGCAAAAAATTTCTTATTGGGATGGAGGGCTTTGATGCAAGAATGTTTACGTGTTTAAGTACAAGGACAGTATCCCTTGTACTCAATATTAATAAAGCATGTTTTTACCTTTCAGGAAAAAAAAAAAGAAAGAGAGATGACGGGATCTAAATTAAATACCACAAGAGTCTCTTGAACAACATTGCTCTAGTATAATAAGTATAATAGGTTCCATAATAAATTGTTGATGCACTGGTAACTCATTATATTGAGGACTTCTTGTACTCCATACAGGATACCATTCCCTGACATTCTTCTCAGCCATGCCCACAAGAAGGTTATTTTGGAATCATGGCCTCTCCACTCCAAGCCTGCAACAAATGTGAATAAAAAAAAACAAAGTAAACTCCATTATTTCTTCATTTATTCAAAAAATAATAATTTCTATAAATTTTAGAGAAAAAGAAACGTACATGGTCAAGGAAGACTTGAATGTATATTTTGGTCAATCATTAATTCGATTTGGTAATGATAGACATGATAAATACTGTATTTGTTTGTAATACATGAATTTTCTCAAAAACTACTATAATTCGATAGAAACAAGCACTTTTAATTGGAATATAATTTCAATTTGCACTCATCATTGGAAACTCAATACTGGAAAAGAAGCTCATCACCAATAACTAGTTTTAATTATACGAAAAAGAGGGTAAATCATATTGAAGGGAATGCAAAGAGAGGAGACAATGGTTTTTGAGAAGAAAAGGTTAAAATTGGCATATGGAGAATGATACATTTACACTCAAAATTTGCACCCTCAGTCACACACACTGCCATCTAACTATTGAAGTATATTTTCTACCATGAATTAGCTTATCCCTTGCTTTTTTAGATATAGGGAGAAGGATGCATGAGTTTTGGGATTTTCGGTTTTGGGTTTTGGGGATTTTTAGGTGGATGACAATTCAAGAAAAATTCACCAAAACTAAAGATGCATATCTGACAATAATTTCTATCAGAAAATTGAAGAGAAAAAGTTACCAGGTAGGTCCCAAGGCTTGGATTTGTAGACATCAACCTCGGAGATGGGGTTGAACCGGAAGGGTTTGTTACAAACCTTGCGCTTCAGATAATAGTGAACCAGTTTTTCATTAGTGGGGTGGAAACAAAACCCAGGAGCTAAAAAGTTTACAGAATCATGTCCCATGATATCGCATGTTGAATTTCAACCTAGCATGATTTTGTAGCCAGATCTAGTGCAAGAGGGGAGGACGAGGAGAGAAAGCCATGGTACAAACATAGGATAGAGAAAATTTTCTTCCTTTTTCCCCTGTTGGCTCTCTTTAAAAAATACCCACAAAATGAGCGAAAATACCTGTAGATTTGGATTCCTTGCTCAACCTAGTGTGATTTTGCAGCTAGATCTGCAGATAACTTGCCTAGTTGCAATGGCAAGGGTGGTGGCTCCATGGGGTGCTATTACGCACTTTCTGATCATAGTGTGTGGCATTTAGGAGATGGGTTTTCGGTTTTTTCAAAGTTTGGATGCAGGGGATTCTCGTCGTGGGTTGTTCCGAGGGGATCCACAATAGGGAAACGTGGGGATAAAGCTGAAGTTCTTAATAAATAAAAAAAACAAAATGGCAGGAATTTTAAAGGAGGGAGGAAAGAGATGAAGATGATTATGAGGGCATTTGGCAACAAAATTAAGTCTATTTTAACTAATTTTAAATTATGAGATATTATATTCTAATTGATGTGTAACAGAGGGTGAATACAGTGATGGGCGCCAATCATGGTCCCATATATAGTAGGAAGATGCTAATTGATCATTATTACGTAAAAAAAAAAAAAGGATCACAATAGATTTCATCTTTTACCTAGTAGCATGATTAAGGATTTATTTGGTATAATGGTTAAAATTCAATGAATAGTGGATAGCGGTAGCGGGTAACGATTAGCGGGTAGTGATTAGCGATTAGCAGGTAGCGATTAACGGATAGCGGATGACGGATAGCGGAAAGTGGGTAGCGGATGATAAATAGCGGATTCGATAAATATAACTGTTTGGTTATATAATGGTTAGTGGTTGTTATTTAACATTAAATGACTAATAAGGACATGTTTAAAAACAAATATTTATATTTTTTAAAATATTTTTATTTTTTATTATTAAAATTATTAATTTTATAAAAATAATAATAAAAAAATAAAAAAAATAAAATTAATTATAATAATGTAATTATATTTTCATTTTTATTTTTTTTAAAAGTATATTATTTTTATTTTAAGATAATATATTTTTTAATTATAAATTAATGTAAAAAAAATATTATAATCACTCAATGTTATTAAAGGTAAAAAAATAAAATTGAAATTTAATAGATAATTATTAATTAAAAAATGTGACCACAAATTAAAAAAATTAAAATGAATAAATTTGTAAATGAAATTAAAAAATTTTAATCTGTTAGCGGTTCGGTACAAAAAGCTATATAAATTAGTTTTTTTAATCCGCTAGCGGTTTGGACTTTAACCGTTATCCGTTAGTTTCAAATCGCTAAATAAAAATTTTACCAAATACTTTATTTATAATGGTTTCGAAATATGTAAATTTACCAAACACCTATATTTAGTGGTTTAAGTAAAACTGCTAATCGCTACCTCAATATCACTATACCAAACGAGCCTAAGTGTAGTTATCCATGCAGTTTGAATCTCTTTGATACTCTATATACAAGGACGGAGCTAGAAATTAAAGTTAGAAGGGGTGAGGGGAAAGGTTAAATTTTTTTTAAAGGTTATTTATTAATTTAGGTTTAATATAATTTAAATTAATTTCTCTATCGATTGTTTATTTTATGTATGCATTATTTATTTATGCATGTAAAACTTTAAATTAATTATATATATAGTTAAAAAATAGATATATTTAGTTATTTTAAAATGATATACACTTTAAAATCTCTAAATAAATAGTATAAAAATATAGTTTAACTTTTTAAATGATTACCCATATCAAAATAACTTTAAATTTGAAATGTATAATTTATATAAATAGAATAAATTCAAACCATTATTTTCATAGTATATAAATTGTACAAAAAATTATATATAACTAGTGTAAAAATTTATATAAATTATATTAATGTAATTCATTAGATTTTGATTATTTTTTAATATTTTTTCTTACCTAGACCAATTTATCATATCTTAAAAATTAATCGAAAAGAGAGAAATAATTCCTTTACCTAAATCCTATTTTTTTTTAATATCTGAAATGGTCCCAATAATTTAAACCTCAAAAACAAAATTTTGTAGAAAATAAAAATTAATGTACCATATTTGAAAATTTTCAAAAGCTTAGGGGGGCAGCTGCCCCCCGCCTTGTCCTACATTGGCTCCGTCCCTGTCTATATAATATATTCTTGATTGAGAAAAAAAAAAGGATAACTAATATTAGGCGTAAACATACTATATATTTGCATTGATCATTTGATATGAAAGACAACATTTATTATTAATTAAATTATCATTTAGTAGGAAGTTACTTGTCTATAATTTAGATATGAAAAATTATTCACACAATTTTATTTTACAATAAAGTTTTAAAATTCTATTTATAAAAAGTTCTTGTAATTTTATGTTACAATAATTATGATAACTCTTTTTACACCACAAAATGTGTGCTTTACTATATCTATCTATCTATCTATATATATATATATATATCTAAAGTTGTTTGAATTAATATATATTTACTCATTTAATGATATATGATATGGATACTGTGAAATTTCAATGTAAACTAAGATTTTTGCTATGTATATCAACTTGGTTTAGAAATATGATTGATATTCAAAATCTTAAAAAATATTAATTAAATACTTGATGATGTATAACATATCTATTGTTATTTTCATAAAAAAAAAAAAAAATCCTACAATTTAACATATAGATCAAAATTACAAGTGTCACAGCTAGTCAATGTGAATGGAATGCCATGTAAAGAGCACGATAAAACATTGCAAAATAGTGTAGGGAATTGCTCCTTTGTAATTAATGCATTAATTGTAGAAGATTATATCAAATCTTAATGGATTCTTTGTAATCTAGATAAATTCTAATTATAGTATGCTATTAAATGCTAAAATTAGTCCCTTAACTTTTTATTTAAAAAAATTTTAGCTCCTAAATTATTTTTGTACTTTTTTGTCCTTCAACAATGAAAAATGCATTTTTGTGGCTCTTTGTTCATTAAGTTTGTATAGCTAGAAATTTTTTGTCCACAAACTTTTGTTTTATGCATTTCTTTAGTCCCTAAATTAATATTTGTTGTGTCTTTTTAGTTTATAAATTGTTGTTTTATACACATTTAAATCATTAAAAGAAATTAAAAAGGTTAAACCCATAATTGGGTCCCTCAACTATCATATGGACCCCCAATTTAGTCCCTTAACTCAAAAAATCCATGATTTGGTCTCTACTATTTACAATTTTAACCCCGACTTAGTCCTTTTGTTAAAAATCTCATGATGTGGCTTGTTAATTAACTGCTACATGATGACATGTCAAATTTTAATACATGTGGGAATGCAACATGACAAAAAATGATGAGATAAAAGAAATGATAAAAAAATTAAAAAATTTTTTCCTTTTTTTTTTTTTTTCCTCTTGTCTTTCCCCTTAGAACCTAATGGCTGTTGGGTTCAAGGGGTTCTTTTGAACCCAGGGGTATTGAACCTAGTGGCAAAAAAAAAGAAGTTATTTTTTGGGTGGGTTTTGTTGTTTGATGATGATGAAGAATTGATTAATGAAGGAATTAATTGATGAAGAAGGCAAGGCCTGTTGTTCTAGGGTTCAAATGGGAGGAAAAGGGGAGAAGGGTTCAGTTTATGCAGGTGGTGGGCCTCACCTTTTTTTTTGTTTGGTTTTGGGCGAGAATGAAGCATGTCATACTGCCATGTCATCTTTTTTGTTTCAAGGTGTACATCTAATATGTCATGCTATTTTGATATGTCATCGTGCTCTTGTTAATTAACGGGACACATTACTGGATTTTTAACAAAAGGATTAAGTCAGAGCCAAAATGACAAACAGTAGGGACCAAATTAGGGATTTTTTGAGATGAGGGACTAAATCGAGGGTTTATACAATAGTTAAGGGACCAAAATGAGAATTTAACCTTAAAAAAAAAGCTAGCCGGACAGACTTAGTAAAAACCAACAAAAGGATAAAAAACTGTATTTTTTTAGTGATTAAAATTGTTCAAAATTAAAAACTTAAGGACTAAATTCGATATTTAACAAATGCATTATGTTAACCTTTTAGATTATTGTTATAATTTTTTTTATTTTCAAAAGTGTCAAAAAAAGAGAGAAAGTATTTCCTCTTTGTTACAAGGGACTTAAAATTTATATCACTTTGAAATGTGTATGTTAATTCCTAATTTATATATACAAAAAAGATTGTACATATTAATTATTAACTCTTTAAAAAAACTAGAGTCCTACCTTTAAAAGTTTTAATTTTAATTAATATTTTAAAAAAATTAGTGGTGGGTCAAATGTCTGTTATATTAATATGTAAATGGACTTCAGTTTTCAACCAATCTAAGTTAATTTGGTTTGGGTACAAAATCATTAACCGGTCTTGATCTTGCGTTTGATTGAGTTAATCTTAGGCCTATCTCAAATACACTCAGCCCAATAAAAGCTAGCTTGACGTCCATCCCCGTAATACATATATAGATGGTCTTAGTGGGCGGTTGTTTTAGACTTTGAAAAATAATTATTAATTATTAATTCTAATTGAATGGATTACATTCTTTAAATTAAAAATAATAATGACTATCAACTATTAATTACATTAAAACAATTAATCCATACAAGGACGTCATTATTTGCTCCTCAATTCCTCGTCACTTATCATATAATATAAACTTGAAACTTCTAATGTTAGAAAATTGAAACTCAAACAATTGAAATGCCCTTGAATAACACTGAATTAATTTTGTTTGATATGTTGATTTAAAAAAAAATTATTTGCTTGATAAAATAATTGCAACAGTGACATTCTTTTTTGTTTGAATTGACAAAGAATTAATTAATTTTATTGAAATTAATGGAGAATAATGTATTGCTCCACCATTGATAAAATTACAAAGCAACTAAAATAATTACAATGTATGGAAAGGTAAGGTTACAAAATAGAAAATGACATTTTCCAAATCAAGATAAAATTAACAAAAGAAAAAAAAAGCGCAAGATTGCATGGAGAAAATGCATCTAATCCATTAAGAAATGAAACATAGAGGTGCTGATTTATTCCAATTTCCAAACACAAAATATGTCAAATGGAAAGAAGAAGATAAGCAACAGAGAAAAACTGCATTAGTACCCGTAAAGCCAACCAAGGCTACATCGCCTAAGCAACAACAC